AAAAAGATAGAAAGAGACTAAGACGATGATACATTTTGAAAAATTGTACAAGACAAAAATATTTACGACGAAGAGAAAGATTTGGAAGAGATAGTTGAGACATAAGTAAAGAACTAGAAAAACGATAGTCAAAATTGCGAGAAATAACACGAGAAGCAAGTTTGTTCACAGAGTCAAGAACAGGGGTAGAAAAGGAACTATCATACAAGGCACAACAATAATCCATTTTAGGAAGAATAGAAGAAATACAGATCCGACGCTGAACCAGAGCCGTAGCCAGAAATTTGGTAAGGGGTGGGCATCTACAAAAAAGTTCCATCTTTACTAGTCTAAATTTCCATGTTAAAGTTAGTCGAGCACTTTTTCTTGCGTTTTATCTGCACACCGCATTTATCACCTATAAATTTAGTGTATATTATACATTGAAGTAAAATCTCAAGAGGTGGGCACGTGCCCTGTTTGCCTAGCCCCTGGCTACGGCCGTGCGCCGAACCTTTGAATGAGCTAATCTAAATACACGACTCAATGCGCCCAACTTACGCCGGCAAACAAGAGCCATGTTTCTGGCAAGCTCACTCCAGGTCAGATTGTGCTAAACAAGAACACCAAGACACCGAATAGAGGAAACAACAGAAAGAGGACAGCTTACTTTAAGTAAGTATTAAAGGGAAAGCAAGAATATTTAGACATATTCAGAGACGTGAGGTTAGAAGAAGATCAATTGGAGATAAAGTTGTTGCAGTTTTGAACATAAGAAAATTCCGAAGGGCCAGAAGAAAGAGGTACGATCAAGAAAACATCATCGGTAAAGAGAAAGATTTCACAGTTAGGTAGAAGAGAAAGAGGCGAGTCATTTATATAAATAAGAAATAGAAGCGGCCCAAGTGTACTATCTAGGGGAACACCAGAAGAAAGAATAGCAGAAGAGATAGAATCATTCACACGCAGATACTGAGAATAGTGTTCAAATGGTTTCAATTAAATGGCTTAAAGAAACGATGCTTAAGCAGATATTGGAAGGAAACCCAGAGAAAAGTTTCTCCTTATTGTACATTAGACATCATTAAACAAAGCAAAATTCTGCCAAATCTGTGACAGTTCTAAGAATATTCTTGCAAAATTCTGTTATATTTCTCAAAATTCTGCTTTGCTTTGCAAAATTCTGAAAATATTTCGCAAAATTCTGATAGGATTTCGCAAACTTCTGCGGACGGTGATGGTGAATTAGTTTAATTGATTATTGTTGAATTTTGGCTGCGTTGAGAATAAAATTTCACCATTGCACAGTCCTCTATTCAATAAGAAAAACAAATCGAGCGAACTGATAGATAGTTTGTGTACTTTTGAAAATTAGCGTGCTGATGTTAAAAAAAATGCGACTGTCGTACACACATGGTTGACATTTGACTATGTACTGGTACGATATGTGAGAAAGTCTAACAACTGTAGCATAAGTTCATAATAAATTAGATAGATCTAATAAAATGTCAAAATATTCCATATGCCTCATATAACTCAATTAATCTACCAGCACTCATTGATACAATCTCAGTATTCGAAAATCTGCATGTTTAACAAGATGATGTAATTGAATCTTTTCAATATTAATTGTTTTGTAAAACTGACATATGATTCTGAATAGCCTGTAATATTTAATTACAATATACTTTTTATATGAATTATTGCGTTGAGAGACATCTTCATACAACTCATTCTGATGTCATTTTGAAAAGATTTTTAGTGCAAAAGAAGAATGTGTGTGACAAATTCGAATTTTTTTATTATAATATTTTCAAAATATTTTATTTTTATGTATCTAGAAAAAAAGCTTCATATTAAAGATGATAATTATAACTCTTATAATACATAAATGGATGATCAGAAAAATGTCTTGCTTTTCAAATGACGATAATTGTTGATTATGATGTTGTTAATATTTTATTGTGGGATGGTTTTTAAAAGATGATTAACTTCTGCTGCTACGGCAACAAATACAAATTGAAATTGATTCTAAAAAAATGAAATAAAATACAACGAATGATAAGTTTCATTAAAGCAAGATATTTATGAATCATACTTTTGTTTTCACCATTTTTGCTCTTTGATCACGAATATGTTCCAGTGCTGCAGCAATATCAATTTCTCTTGCTCCTATAATAAAAATAGAAATAATAGAATACTACAAAACATGTTGACATCGAGAGATTTTTAAAAAATGTCTCTAATATACTGATATGTACGAGTGAAAATATAAGCTGATGGAATAAATGATAGGAGTGGTTTAAAAGTTTCTCCTCAACACGACTTATATCTCAATGTACGAACCTCGTTACTATACGAATCTGTATATACAGTTGTCGAAGATTGGAGATATTCTTTGCACATGATTACTTACCTTTTATCACGCGATTTAGTACCATGTCTAAAAGAATGTACGTCCCTGTTCGACCAACACCATCACTAGAAGACCATGAAAATGTATGAAATATCAGACTTGTGAGAGATCATAATTATTTTACATACTTGCAATGAACGATGATAGGTGAAGATTTTCCACGATAACATTTGTTCACTTTTCTAAAACATAATGATACATATTAATATAAAGAGAAAAGTAGCAGAAAAAAGAAAATGGTCACTGTTATTAAATAAATTTTATGACTTTTAATTGTATAATCGTCCATTTTTTTTTATTCAAAAATTTGGTCGCTTTTGTGACTATGCAATTATTTGAAACAGAATCACAAAGTAACAAAAGCTGCCAAATAATATGAATGTATTTTATATACATTATAATAGTTATAAACAAGTCTTTTTTATATTTAATGAATACGCTTGAATGAATTGAAGAGGTTCGTGCATAAGTTTTCTCTCTAATTTTGGTTAAAAAAAATGAGATAGTCATCTAATTAATTAATAATGAGTATTGTATAATTCAAAAATAACTTAAAGAATATGATGTCATTTTTTAAAAAAAAGTATCGAAACGCTAATGCGGCCAATTTCCTTATGAAAAACTTTTCTGTTGTATCGAAGTGAACTAAACTGAACATTCATATTTGGAAGATAGTTAAAGAAACTCGTTTATTGTCCTTCACCTTTTCGATTATTAAAATGAATAGGAAAATGTCCTCTATCCCTTTATTTAATTTTTTAGCTGATCTGTACTATGTACTGCAACGATAATGGTCAACTATAGTTTAAATGATTAGAAAAATATGCTTACCGTCTAAAATCGAGTAATGATTTGGCTGAGGGTGGTGTACCCAATTCAGACCATGTTAGAAAATGAAATTGTGTAACTGTACGTGTTTCCATGGTTTGAATATTTTTAAGATAGAAACTTCGAACAAGATAATCATCACACCAAATATGTTCTGATACAAGATTAACCTATTATTTAACATTAAAACAATTAAATCATATAAAAACTAACTATCTGAGTAGGAAAATAAAAGAGAAGATAATTACCTCAAAACTTGTAAGTCTTTCATTTCCAGCCGCAGGCCAATAATGATGACACATTGTAACACCATCTTCAATTGGTCTTGTTAACGCTACAATAACTGAACTACCATTTTCCCAGACCATTTGCCAGAATGCATTTGTTGTTTGAGGTAAAGGACCTAATCAATCAAAATATTTTTATTATTTTTAGAAAACGTTAGAAATTATTATAAATCAAATTATTTACCTTGTGTAGCTATATATTTACATTTTGGATCTGAATCAGTCTATAAAAAAGAGATTAGATGTAATCTGTTGAATAGAAAAGTTGAAGAATTTTATTTACAATTGGACTTGCATTAATATAATCATTATTTTCTTTATCAAAATTATTCGTTAATAAAATTCTTGAATCATCATCTGAAATTATAGATAGAGAAATAAAAAAATTGAACATGGGAAAATGATAATTCACAAAGAAAGAAGCTTATGAAATAATGTTTCGTAAAGTATGAGCGATATAGTATGTAAAAAAGAAAAAAAACTAGTATTTTTTGTAAAGAAGAAAAGTGTTCATGTACATCATCTAAAATGATGCAAAAGCAAAAAGAATAACAACAATGAAACGGTAAAATTGTCGATGAAAAAAAAAACTAACATTTCTTAAAGAGACAATATAGTTTTAATTAGATAATTTGTTTCATTAATAGAAAATGTAAAATATTATTAATAGATAATAGATCTTATCATCTTCTCGTCCGAGAATCATTATCAATTTTATCAAAAAAAATTGAAATTTTTCACAAAACTGTTCCATCGATACATCATTAATCGTTTATCCCGATGAATTACAATAAACAAAATTTAAAGTGAAGTTAAAAATAATAGAGTAGACCATTATTTATAGTTGGTAAATTTATCAACGATAAATACATATTTTCGATCTTCATTGAGAATCGATACAAGGTTTTTTACTTGTTATTTGTTAATCAATAACTTATTATTATTTTTGTTTTTCGTCTTGTACTTACTCTCTATAATTATTTTATATTGTGATTTTTTGTTCCTAAAAATGGTAATTATAATTATTGAAATATTGAAATTCACGTATAAATAAATTACAATGAATTTATTAATGAAAAAAACAATTCTTTTTAACTGTTGTTCAAAAAATTTTAATTAGAATAAATCGAAATTTATTCTTCTTTTTCTTCATATAACTTACTAGAAATAATATAGTACACTTTTTTTCTTTGCTTTCTGTTGTTTAATGATTATTAATTAAGAAAATAGTTTGATGTTATATTTTAAAAATAATTAGTTACAATAACTCGGTTTGTTCAAAGAGTAGCTTAAAACAAATGATTAAATAGTGCAAAAAAATAATATGTCACATCGTTGTATCGAGTGAACCATAAAATAATATGATAATACTTTTATAATTTAAACTTTAGAAATACGTCACTATTATATACTTTTTAACGTCTCTTCTTACAGTTTTTACAATTTATTCTATGATAATAGAATAAGTTAATGTTTTCAAGTTTTCAAGTAGATACTTATCATTTAAACATTTTAAAAATTTTATTGAAGAATTATGTATGTTAAATAATTTTAGAATTTTTCTTATAATAACATATAGAAAGCTTTCCAAACATCATTAGTATTTAATTCTACTTATCATTAGTGAAATCTATTTTTTTTTTTTGTTTTTTGTTACAAAAATTGCCGCCTATTTGATGAAGAGATTTTCTTTTGTTAAAGGAACTTACTCACCTTTATCTCATATTCTCTGTAGTGTGTATACTTAAAATTTTCTGATAATTGCTGAAATATAGCATAACTTTCTCATCTCTCTTTTTCTGTAACAAAAAAACAAAACAAAAAAAATTTCTATATTTCTAGGAAGAATTTCTCTTTTTCTGACACAATAAAACAAACATTTTCAAAGAAGTCAATCTAATTTTGGCTCATCAATTGTCATCGTTCGTTTTTCTTCAAAATTCTTAAGTATTTCAGGAAATAGACTAACAACTGAAAATATCTTAAAAAATTCTACACATCTCTTCACCTTTCCTCTATTTTGTTATTGTGCATAGTGAAGGAAATTTCATTCAACTTAAAGATTTACTGTACATGATATTAAAATATGTGGAAACGAAAAATGTACAAATTAATTAAAACACAAAAAAGTGTAAATATTTAAATGTTTATAGAAAAGATATTTTGTCTTTAAGAAGAAGAAGACGAAGAAGAAGAAGAAAAAAAAAATTAATCATTTATTAAACGATTATATTTTACTTGTTATAATAACAGTGTTATGCATGTTCAGCAGGAAACACATTGGTTATTTAATAGCATAGTTTTAGACTGAGACAGATGTAAAGAAAAAAAAATTTAATTGATTGGCATGTGTCATCTGACAGTATGAATGAAGGGGGAAATAATAGTTGTTTAATAATAATAATAATAATAATAATAATAATAATGATAATACTTACACGGTAATACGTCAATGTAACGATTTTTATTTGTGTTCACTTCAGACAAGGCAATTGTAAATGCTCCTCGATCACTCTCATAATTACATAATTCTTGCCATTCAGCTTCCAAACGATTACGATTTCGAAGATGATCTTCCATATAATTCTATAGATATACAAATAAATCATGTATTGTCATAAAAATAAAAGATTAGATGATTTTCAGTGACAATACTAAGAGGTTCAAGTAGAAAAATGTCTCAAAAAAAAAAAAAAAAAAAATCGAACAAAATAAATTTTAATGCAAAAAAAAAAGATAGATCATCAATTTATCATTTTTATCCTCAGAGAGTGTTAAACCAGGCACATGATCTTGATATGTGAGACAATCGATTTTATTTCTAGGTTATTTTTCTATCAATTGTCTAGCGGATCAACAAAATTCATTGCTATTGACTATATTAATAATCATTATTAAACATATTCGTCATTTGTAGTTCATCTATTCGAATTACTATACTATCTTCAATTTTTCAAAGAATGAAGTACTTTCTTTTTTTTTTATATCATAGAATGTATTGCACAAAATTTTTTCACAATTTTAATAATAAATTTCTGTTAAATTAGAGAAAATTTTATTTTATTTTTGGTTTAATTTGATGAAAATCAACGTAGAAAATGGATGATATTTTTCTATACCTCCTAATCGTGTCAACTCTGATAATTTATTAACTTACCAAGATAAGATGACCAGTCATTATATCCATATTCGTTGTTAGAATAGGGTCTTCACTCCTAAATAACAACAAAATATGTTTAAATTAATGTAAGAAAAAAAATATTTTTATAAGATCAATAGAATTTTTTTTTGTATAAAATTTATGCTATTAATTTACTTACCATGACGATGTTGAACTTCGATTTGATGATCCTTCGCTATGATTTTTTATATTTGTATTTAATATATTTGTTTGTACACTATGTGATGATGGTGAAATAGGCGATTTTGTTTGCGGTTGAGTTTGCATTCGTTGACGACATAAATCCTTTAATATAAATTAAATTATTTGATATTTTATAATCATTTCTAATTAACAAAATATTAAACTAGAAACTTACTTGATAATCTTTTGTTGAAAAACCTTTAATATGTGTTAGTTCGGCTAGTTTATTTCTTATACGAGCGTCTCTTTTAATAAAAAATAATATTCCAATTACTGCCATTGTAAATGCAACCACTGAACAAATAATAATGGTAACAATAACAATTTGCGATCCATTTTGACGTTCAATAGGTAATTGACGACCCTATATTTAAAAAGAAAATCAATATTAATAAAATGAGTCATCATCAATATTATCGATTTAAAAACAAAAAAACTAAAAATTTATTTAGTTTTTCTCTAGAAACTTTGACATATTTTTATTATAAATTTAAGGTCATCTCTTTCTTTCTTAAAGTTATTTTACTTCATTTTAATTTAAATAGTGAATATATATATATATAAAATAATAATTACTTTAATAACTCTTTTATCATTAACACATTTTTTGATAATAAAGTTAATTCAACAAACAAAACAAAAAAAAAATGTATGAAATTGTTAAAAAATATTAAATATTTTTCAAAAATATTCATATATCAACATAAACAGAGATATTTTTTTCTCAACTTTTCTTTCTCTCACATACATATATACACACATTGCATTATACATAATTTAAATATTCAATGAAGATAATTTTTCTTTATTGTTATTTGGTATATTATTCGTTTCATTATTTTTATTATATACCATATGTGAATTTTCATCAGCTATGTTCATTAATATTAAGAGCATTTAGAGACGCGAAAAATGAGAGAAAAAAGAGAAGAAAAAGAAAAAAAAAAAAAAGGAAAATTTTCTTTTCTCTTTTAGTTGTGTGTACAAGCTTTTAGTTTAGTTTAGTTTAGTTTTTTTTTTTTTGTTCTTCTACACCAGTATTATATGGAAAAATATCTCAATATATGTTTGTCTTTTAAAAGGTGTCTGATAATTACATATACTACTCTCTTGTTCCAAAAATTACATAGAGCGTTAATAAGCCTGTAAAAACTAATAGAAGGACTGACAAATACAACAAGTTCTTTTTCTCTCTTCTCTTTATCTTTTTTTTTTTTTTATCATACGAATTATCAATTATGCAGAAATTTGCGTGAGTTAAATAGATGGCACAATATATGTTCAATCTTTTTGACAATTATAAAGAAAAAAAACGTTTTTTTTCCCTCTGTATAAAGATCAAAAACCAACATAAAAAAACAAGGAGAGAAAACAAATTGACAGTAAATATATAATAATGAAAAGTCAGATGACATTTTCTATCTTTAATATGAGATACTATTCTCGTTTTAAATGGTTGAAATTTATTTTATAATTATTTGAGAAATGATCAAAAATTTAAATAGTTGCACATTTTTTATTCGTTCTTATACCTACATAATAAATGAGGAAGAGAGAGAGAGAGAGAGAAGAGGACATAGAATCCAGATCATTAACAACACTGTAACTTTTAATAGTGAAAAAAAAAATTACAATAAACTACACTTAGATTGATTTGGCT